CCGCCTCTTGCTGCAGTTCCAGCTGCAAGTCTCTTGGGGTTTGTCTCTGTCAGTTTTGAACATGGAGACACTGAAGTTCTGCCCATTCTTCCTGCAGAACAGCTGGAGCTCAGTGAGGTTGGATGGAGAACGTTTGTGAACAGCAGTCTTCAGCTCTTTCCACAGATTCTGGATTGGATTCAGGTCTGGACTTGGAGAAGGCATTCGACTGTGTCCCTCGGGGAGCCCTGTGGGACCCCTGTGGAACCCCTGTGGGGGGCATTCCGGGAGTATGGGGTACCAGGCCCTTTGATACTGGCTGTTAGGTTCCTGTACGATCGGTGTCAGAGCTTGGTCCACATTGCCAGCAGTAAGTCGGGCTCGTTCCCAGTGAGAGTTGGACTCTGCCAAGGTTGCCCTTTGTCCCGATTCTATTCATAACTTTTATGGATAGAATTTTTAGGCGCAGCCAAGGTGTTGAGGGGATCCATTTTGGTGGCCTTAGGATCACTTCTCTGTTTTTTTTTTTCAGATGATGTGGTCCTATTCGCTTCATCAGGTCATGATCTACAGCTTTCACTGGAGCGGTTTGCAGCCGAGTGTGACGCGGCCGGGATGCGGATCAGTTCCTCCAAATCTGAGGCCATGGTCTTGAGCTGGAAAAGGGTAGAGTGCCCCCTCTGGGTTGGGGAGGAGGTCCTGTCCCAAGTGGAGGAGTTTGAGTATTTTGGGATCTTGTTCACGAATGAGGGAAAAATGGAGCGTGAGATCGATAGGCGGATAGGTGCAGCGTCTGCAGTGAAGCGGGCACTGTATCAATCTGTCGTGGTGAAGAGAGAGCTAAGTCAAAAGGCGACGCTCTGAATTTTCTGGTCGATCTACGTTCCTACCCTCATTTATTGTCATGAGCTTTGGGTTGTGATTGAAAGAACGAGATCACAGATACAGGTGACCGAAATGAGTTTTCTCCGCAGGGTGTCAGAGCTCTCCCTTAGAGATAGGGTGAAAAGCTCGGTCATCCGGGAAGGACTCAGAGTAGAGCTGCTGCTTCTCCACATAGAGAGGAGCCAGTTGAGGTGGCTCGGGCATCTGGTTAGGATGCCTCCTGGATGCCTCCCTGGTGAGGTGTTCTGGGCACCAATGGGAGGAGACCCAGAGGAAGACCCAGGACACGCTGGAGGGATTATGTTTCTTGGCTGGACTGGGAACGCCTTGAGATTCCCCCGAGGAGCTGGCCCAAGTGGCTGGGGAGAGGGAAGTCTGGGCCTCCCTACTTAGGCTGCTACCCCCACGACCCGACCCCGGATAAGCATAAGAAGATGGATGGATGGATGGTGAAGCCCTTGGTCCATGCAGCTTTCAACTCACACTTCCAGGAAAGTTTTTCACATGTCCTGGAGAGGTTGGGGACATGGAATTTGAATGGCCCATTTTCAGGGACTCTATTGCAGATGCGGCTTTCAGGAGCTGTGGACTGAAGGTCACTGGTGCCTGTCAGGGTGGTAACCAACTGACCCAGTGGTGGACACCAGAGGTGATAGAGGCCATCAAGCTGAAGAAGGAGGCCTTCAGGACTTGGTTGTTCTGGAGGACTCCTGAAGAAGTTAACAGGTACAGGGTGACCAGAAGGCCTGCAGCGTCAGCACTTGCGGAAGCAAAAACTCGGGCATGGGAAAAATTCAGGGAGGCCATGGATAAGGACTTTTTGTTAGCCTTGAGGAAGTTCTGGCAAACAATTCAGCGACTCAGGAAAGGACAGCAGACCATATCCCAGGCTATGCTTGGTTTGTGGGGGGAAACTGCTGACCTGATATTGTTGAGTGGTAGAAGGAGCACTTTGAGGATCTCCTTAATCCACTCACCATGTCCACCTTTGAGGAGGCAGAGTCTGAGGACTCGAGTGAAGACAAGTCCGTTACCATGGCAGAGGTCACCGAGGTAGTCAAAAAGCTCCTCGGTGGCATGGTGTCAGGGGAAGACGGGATTTTCCAGAGATGCTGAATGCTCTGGATCTTGTGGGGCTGTCATGGTTGACACATCTCTTCAGTGTTGCATGGAGAACTGAACAATGCATGTAGAGTGACAGACCGGGGTGGTAGTTCTCATTTTAAAATGGGGAACAGGAGCGTGTATTCCAACTATTGTGGGATCAAGGTCTCACCCTCCCCAGGAAAGTTTACTCCAGGTTGTTGGAAGGGAGGCCCTGATTAATTGTCAACCCTTGTATTCAGGAGGAGCAGAATGGCTTCCCTCTTGGTCATGGAACAATGGACCAAATATTTCAGACAGATTAAAGCCACATTTTTAGTAATGAGGACATTGCTTCAGTCTGTCATGGTGAAGAAAAAGCAGAGCTCATAGGCAAAGCTGTCACTTTACTGATCTGTCTTCGGTCCTACCCGCACCTATGAGGTTTGGATCATGACTAAAAGAATGAGATCCTGGATACAAGTGGCTGAAATGGGCTTTCTTTGAAGGGTGGCCAGTCTCATCTTAGCGATAGGAGAAGCTCTGTCATCCAGAGGAGCTCAGAGTAGAGCTGCTGCTCCTCCACAAAAAAGGAGTCTGTTGAGGTGGTTTGGGCATCTGATTAGAATGCGGCCTAGAAGCCTCCCTTTAGAAGATTTCCTGGCACGTCCCACTGGTTAGAGGCCAGGGGAAGACCCACAAGTTGCTGGAGGTTTGGTGTATCTTGTCTGGTCTGGGATCGCCTCGAGGTCCCCCAGGACGAGCTGGAAATTGGATGTCTGGGGTTCTCTCCTGGACCTGTTGTCTCCGCGACCCGACTTTGGGTAAGCGGTAGAAGATGGATGGATGAAAACATTTTTAACCACAATTTAAGTTTTGTGAGACATTGAATAGAAATTCTAAATTTTAAGACTGTTTTCCATATCTTTGGTTATACACACACACACACACACACACACACACACACGA